TTGTTTTCAAGTTTGTATATATAATAATAACTTGACCCGCAAAACCGGATGTTTATTAGGCCTATAATTGGTCGGGTCCGGATCATTCTAACATTTTGAGCATTAAATTGCACCGGCGTCTATTTGGTCGCCCTCATTTAACCTACACTCATTTTTAAAAAAGTTTAAACTTGTACTCATTTTTTAAACAACTTCAGCCCCCTTTCTCCTCCTCCTTCTCCTCCTTCGTTTTCTTCTTCTTCTTTCTTCTACTGATGTTGGTGTTGCTATGAAACTTCAGTTCATGGGATGATTGTCATAAATATATTTATCAGATTATTTAAAGATAAATTATAAATAATTACGTAAGTTAGTAGATAATAATTTGTGAATATTTTCACGTACTAAGTTAGTAGAGAATGATAATTCTGTTCTTTTCACGTTTATTGTTTCCAAAATTTATGATTTGGATACTATTTGCAATCTGATTATTTATCTAGTATGTTAGAAAGTTTTTTTCAAAAACTTTAGCTTATATAGTGCTGAAGTTTTTACAAATGAACTAAATAATTTCAGCATCTTCTGCTGAAGTTTTTGAAAAAACTTTATGACAAAACTAATGAATCCAGGACAAAAAAGCTTCAGCTTTTAGTGCTGAAGTTTTTACAAATGAACTAAATAACTTCAGCATATTCTGCTGAAGTTTTTGAAAAAGGTTATCCAGGACAAAAAAACTTCAACTTATTTATTGCTGAAGTTTTTATAAATGAACTAAATAACTTCAGCATCTTCTGCTGAAGTTTTTGAAAAAACTTAATGACAAAACTAATGAATCGAGGACAAAAAAAACTTCAGCTTATTTAGTGCAATTACAAACAAAAACTTCAGCAAATAGAGAACAAAACTTCAGCTACTATGCTTAAGTTCAACAATTACAAACAAAAATTTCAGTAAATAGAGAACAAAACTTCAGCTACTATGCTTAACTTCAGCAATTACAAACAAAAACTCTAGCACACTTGGTTCATCACACTTGCTACTTTAGGCCCGTCTACTAGAATGCTGAAGTTTTGCGTGATTGTCTTTGCTACTTCAGCCCCGTATGTTGAAGTTACGCGAAAAAGTGGGTACGTTTGCAATTTTTTTTGCAAAGCGGGCACAAGTTAAAACGTGACCCAAAAAGCGGGTATAGATGCAAATGCCCCCATTTTGAAGACCTCCCTTTTAAGTTTTGGCCTTATAAGTTAGGAAATCTTACGGAAATATCACAAATAAGTCCTAACTTATCAATCTTTAGTCATTAATTATAAACTTACCAAAGTTACTCAAGTACATACAAAAATCGAAAGCCCAAATAAATAATGATTCTTTCTCTCCAAGAATCACAAATAAAAATCTCCTTCCATATTTTTAAGCGTGATCAACAACATTAGATACAAGACGGAAAGAAAATTTCATGGATGAGGTAGCAAATAAGGTGATGAAATACAAAAAAAAAATACAAGATTTCAAAAATCTAAGCAGAAAGAGACCTTTTTCAATTGGTAAGGTTGAAATTCATTAAAAATATATAGATGACTCAATATACAAAATTTGAAGAAGATTGGAGATGATTTGGACTGATTTGGTATTAAAACTTGTAGGTAAATCGAGTTCAAAAAATTCTTCTGTTATCACGTATGTATCTCACACACAAGTACACAGGAATATACATGTGATACATATTTGATACAAATATGATACGTATATGATACACATATTATATATAGTGAGATACACATTATTTTTTCCATGTTCATCTTCTACTTCAATTTCCAATTCAAACCACCTCAAAACTCCACCAAATCATTCCAAAACTGATATTTAAACTCCTTAAGATGTATTCAATCTATTCAAACAATACTCACTCTAAAGAAAGTAAGAATTTGACATTTTTCTTTGCTACAAATAGCTAATTGGCAAATATTGATAATATTTTATGAAATGACTAATTTTTGTATTAACTTACTTATGGGCTGACATAACTCGTACTTTCCCAGGAAAAAAATATTACTTATTCTTTTTTGAATAGTTCATGTTCAGAAAAGTTATGTGGCCTGAATTAGGGATGTACATAGTTCGGGTTGGTTCGGATTTTGCAATTAGCAAATCAAACTAATTGTGTCGGGTTATTAAATCTAAAGATCAAACCAAACCAATAAAACTTGCGTTTTTCAATCTCGGATTTTCTCACGCTATTCGGGTTATTCGGGGTTTTTTCGGTAAAATCTTCGTAGCACAAAACATATAACTTGTGCTCAAAATATTTCTTTAATCCTATTAAGATATAATTATATAAGGTATTTTTCAAGAAAATAATACAAAATATGAGATGTGTCATGGCATTATCCTAAAATATTCAACAATAAAAATAATAAAATTATATAATATAAATATTGATAATTAAAAAGCCATAATAAACATAATCTAAAAGTACTAAGTCATGCTAAAATAAATAGACTAATAAGGGAATATTAAGTTCATGACTAAACGCCAAAGAAAAATAAAAATAGGTTATGCATTTTTATCTAAATTATTGCAAAACAAAAAATAGATATTCAATACATTGCCGTTCGTAGTATTGAATTGAATGTCCTTTGTTAGTATTAGTATTGATTTGATTTTGGTTTGGGCTTTTGTTAGCATTATTTAAGTTACTAATATTAATGGTTATAAAACATATTGGAACATTCAAAAGTTCTAAGTCCAACCTTGAAATATACCTTAAAAAATAAAATTATGAAAAAGTTTAAGAGATATTTATAAATTACATCACAATAAGTATATTTATATATTAAATGTATTTAAAAAATTATATATGTAATGTCGGGTTGGTTTGGTTTCGGTTTGACTCTCTTTAGTTAAAACCAAACCAATTATGGTCGGGTTTTTTTCCAAATCAAACCAAATCATAGTCGGGTTCTTTTTCTCGTTTTGACTCGGATTATCGGGTTAGTGCGATTTATCGATTTCCTTTGTACACCCCTAGCCTGAATGTATGAAAGTGAAACAGTTTTTTTATTCTCTGTTGCTAAACTATATTAGTTATAATAAATTGTTAACAATTTTTTGTACTTAAAGTATTTATACGTAACTGAAAAATTTTGCATCTAAAGTTCAATATGTTTGAGTAGTAGCAACAAGCAAGTTGTGTAGTTGACAAGAGAATAAATAAATGCAGCGAATGAAAGATGGGGGGCGGGGGGCGGATTGGAGCACTGTAGGTAGAATAATTCTAAGTCTAAAGATATATTTTAAGATTTTTGTCCCAAAATTTAGTATTCAATTTTTAATGCCACAAAAGAAAAACTATGGAATATTAGATGAGTTTTACCATTAAAACGAGTTTCACCACAAAAAATTCAAAATAAGTAAGGTGAGTGTAATATCAGAAACCAGAAGTGAAATTGATGTTATAAGGCTAAATTTGAGGGGAGTTCTCTGAAATTATCCTTCTTTTTAATTATTATTGCATTGCGGCCGTCAAAATTGAATTCGCACCTACTATTATAAATAACTTTTTTTTTTAATTTTAATTTTTCATCTGGTGTTTGATACCCGCTTGGAGTTCGACTAATTTGAATTCATCTCGAAAAGTCTCTTTTGGAGATAAAGTATCCCTATTAAAGTCGACCTCTAATTAAGATGAAGAGCTACTTATTACATCCTCACAATCTTTGACGGAGTGAATACGTTTCACCATCAAAACAAAATCTCCAAAACATGTTATACGTGAAAGAAATTATATGGATCCATAGATTCATCATTACAATATTTTTCTCATATTCACTTGTTACTAAAAGGTGTTGGAGTAATATTTGTGTTAATGTTTCATGATTTTTCATCTCAGCGACTATTATGGTTAAGATTGTGGCCATAATCTTTTTGTATAAGTCTTTACTTGTATACTAAATACCTGACTGATATCCTACTTATTAGCCGATATTCCACCTATTTATTAATTCACTAATGTCTAATAATTAGTCATTATATCATGATCACATGTGTATACAATTTCTTACCTATTAAACTCTTTTAATCTATGGAAGAATCTTTATGCATTTAGAAAAATCCTTTTAAATGTAGACTTTTAAGCGAATTAAGACCTCATTTTAGTGGTGAAAAAAGAAACAAATTGTTAGAAAGTTCATTACGTTCATAAACTTAGGAGGAACTTTAACTTGTGAAGTAAAAAGCTATTTTATCATTTTTATTGATGATCTTTTTTAATTCACTTATGTTTCCTTGATAAAAAAGTGATGTATCTAAACAAAATTAAAACTATCTCTACTACGAGATTAAAAATAAATTTGATAGAAAAATAAAAAGAAATTAGAAGTTGTAAAGGTCAAGAACAAGATTGCAACAACCCAATAACCAGTGACATGGCGTAAAAGGACAACCCGGTGCACAAAGCATCCCGCATTCACGCATGGTTCGAGGAAGGTCCGCACACCCTTGGGGTGCGATATAGGCAACATATTGATGCAAGCATCAGTGGCTGATTCCACGGCTCGAACCCGTGACCTATAAGTCACACGGAGACAACTTAATTATTGCTCCAAGCTCCAAGGATGCTGCATGTTGTAGAAGAGGATAAAGGATTGAATCCACAAGAGAAGCTTTACTGTGTGTCTCACAAGTTTGTGGATCTCAATCTTACACTTCTGGGTCCACAAAACCGTGAGACAAAAAAAAAGCCTCATACAACTAGTCTATTTTCCCATTCTTTCCTTTCAAAGCTGGAGCAAATGGATGGCAGCACAGAGAATGAATGTTCAACCTTGACAGTAAAACCTAAAGGATCATATCTCATTTCTGATGATTCTATCATTAACCACTCCAACATTTGACTCTTATTAGGTTCTATAATATTCCTTTCCCAAAGATGTACCAAGCAAAAGACCACAAAATGCAAGTTGACTTGTGAGAAGCTGCATTCAATATTTAATTTTTTGTTAAAGTAAATAAACAAAGAGCTCCTCATCTTAACAAGTCATCTTTTTCTTCATCATTAAAATTTGACGTTGGTTTTACAAAGCAAGCTTCTCATGGAACTCCAACCCATAGTCTCCTATACCTTATTAACAAAGAGGTTCAGGCCTTGCAAAGATCAATATGATCAACTTTTAATAAGGAGCACAACTCTTTCTAAAGAACACACAACAATATAAAAGATTACCTCGCCCCATGCCCCATCCCCTTCTTCTTTTGTCTCCTATCCTCTCTGCATTCATAAGCAGCTTCTCATTTAGCAATTTTTTCTAAACAAGGCATCAATTGAAACGAATAAGTCCATTTGATTTTGCGTTCACATGAAGTCTTCCTCCAGCTCTTGCAGGGATTTGTTTGTTGATGCAATATCTTTGTTTGATGTCATCTTATCAGCAACCATCAAATTTTTGTAGCTCCTCATCTCGGCCTGTCTCTCCTTTTCAAGCCTGTCCATCTCCTCTCGTCGTTTCTGGTCATTCAAAATAGAAAAGAAATGAGCTTTAGAATGCATTAAATTTTCCAAAGCTGGACGAAGAAGTTTCACAGCAAAAGTTTTGACTGCAGAAACAATACCACCACTACAACTATATTAAATAGATAAAAGAAGATAAAAGTGAGAAAGTACAGTAGCAGGAAAACCTGAAGCACAGGATCCTAAAAAGTAGAAGGCTCTAAAATGTTACTACTTTTTTCTGTTTTTTCACATTCTACACTTAATGGTAAACATCAGTGTTTGTATCAAGTTGACCAATTTAATCCAGAGCACCATATTAGTCTAGGAAAACCCAGTGAAAGGAATTATAGAATATAAATGATGTGCAAAGATGGGCTATAATCATGGACAGTTGTGGAAAAAATATAACAACCACCAATCAAGTATAGCCCTTACATCTTATCCCAATTTCAACATCTTAGGAACTAGGCAACATCAAGTTTTAGCCCATTCAGGTCCACACATTTAAAATGCCAGTTTACACATGTTCAACAGGGTGCCACATTCCAGGTTTGAAGGTCAGCCGGACTGGGTAAGGGCCTCTATTTCTGTGAATGTTTTCCCACTATATCTTATTTTCCCAGAAATGTTAAAATATCATTCCTAACGCAATAAAGTTTCCAATTTCATATTCAACGCTAGGCATATTTTTCCAAGAAAAGATAGATCTTACTTTCTCTCTAAGCTGCTGCTTCCTCTCTGCCCTTTCAGCTGCATTGACGGCCTCCCGCTCAGCTGAAAACACAAACAAGAGGGATCATTACTTGCAAGATAAATATCTAGACTACCTAAGTCAAAAGGAGGAAGGGGTAATCTCGAAAACTACTATAGAGAGACTTTATTCACTTCCTTTAACAAGAAGATTATGTGTTTATTCCCTACATTCCACTGTACATAACCCAGCTTAACTAGCAGGAGATTTAAAAGTTTTAACTTAGATTGATGAGCATATTTGACGAGGACGATATCAGAGTTCAAATACTAATACCTAAGGCGTTTGGGCAATATTAGTCGAATTTTCAGAAAAGGAGTATTTGAAGTTGAAGTTGGAGAAGGGTACATGGTTCCTTTGTGTTTGGACATGAATTCACTTGGTAAATAAAGTTGATGTTTTCTGAGTGGAAACCATTACTTAACTTGAACTACTCCTCAAACCAAAATTTCAAATTCTCAATTTCAAGCTGAAGTTGAACAAATGAACCAGATTGTAAAACAAAACACTTGTGATTTTTTTTCCTCCAAATGTTCCAAATATCATTTGAAATAATGAAGCTTTGATCTTGTCCAAATAATGAAGCTTTGATCTACGCAGACATATTGAGAAGTCCTAAGAAATGGGAAGTGTCATGCATAGAAGTAGAATGGAGTTAATATTTTTTCCCCGGCAAACAAACTTAGCAAGGTGCAACTTACCTTTTAAGTCGGGCTTCCTCTCCACTTTTGTACGGTTTAATCTATTGACTATTTCATTTATTCGCTTCTCAACCTTCACAGTACGAACCTATTGGAAAATCATGACATGAATTAACTTTCACATCCATTAAGAAAAAGGAAAAAAAGAACAACCACAACTATGGAAAGTAACGAAATTTCAAAATCAGAAGACAACAGTTAAAGCACAGACACATTAAATGCATGAATATGCTCACCATTTTTGGGTTGTGGAAACTAACTTGCCCAACATCCATCGAAGCCGTCTTCTTAAGGTTTTGCCATGGCGTATAAACAACATCAACATTGTTTACCTTATTTCCTGCCAAAATGGGATCAGATCACCCAAGATGGTGTTATTTCAATAAATAGACAAGATCAAGGATAACGACAAGCTCTCAAACAGCAGCCTTTCGAGATTCTTTAAACCATTGTTGTGAAAAGCAGTTGCTTCACCGCTTAAAGAGATGGAAGCGAGGCGAGACGAGGC